GCTTGCATGAGCAGGCCAGTCAGAAACGTATCTATGCATTCCAATACCATAGCTGGACTTTCTCACTTTCTGCCCCTTACAGGAAGGAAGGAAGGAAGGAAGGAAGCAGCGGACAGATATCTTGTGATTGATGGAACCCGGTGACGCTTAATTTATTGTGTTTGTGTCAGTGGTGGTTGTGTCAATGTGTCCGTGTTGTGTGTCCGTATATCAGTGTTTGTGTGTCCGTGTGCCAATGTGTCTGTGTGTCAATGTGTCCGTGTTTGTGTGTCTGTGTGTCCGTGTATCAGTGTCTGTGTGTCCGTGTGCCAATGTGTCCGTGTGCCAATGTGTCTGTGTATCAGTGTTTGTGTCAGTGCGTCAATGTGTCTGTGTTCGTGTGTAGCTTTTGGGGGGGGGGGGGACATCTTGAAAAGCTCCAAGTTCTTTGCCCCTATCAGTAGGCCTGTTGTAGGAGAGTCCAAAAATAGAAAACGGAAGTCGTTGTGTTGCAAAGTCTGCTGCTACCTTGCCGTGACCCCAGGTGACCCCGATCTGTAGATGGTGACATTTTGGAGCCCTCCCAAGGGAAGGCGGACACTGTCCCGTCTCTTGGCATAGAAAACTATCTTTTGCTATCTTCTGCTATCTTGTGCTATCTTTTCTTTTACAATCTTTTGTCTTTTGCTATCTTTTGTTATCTTTTGCTATCTTTTGTTATCTTTTGCTATCTTTTACCATCTTTTGTCTTTTGCTATCTTTTGTTATCTTTTGCTATCTTTTGTTATCTTTTGATATCTTTTACCATCTTTTGTCTTTTGCTATATTTTTCTATCTTTTGTTATCTTTTGCTAACTTTTGCTATTTTTCGCTTTGTTTAGTTTTGTGCTTATTCTTGAAATGTTTTCCGAACTCGTATGGCTAGAAGAAAGCTTTTGTGTAGTTCTGTTCTGACGCCTGGTTTTGCCGAACTGAACATATAGTACTGTCGGAATTAGCACATACATACACATATGTTGTGTGTCGTATGGTTTAGCTGCTGGAATGTAGTTTGGGAATGTGGGGATGTAATCTGTCACTCCCTGCTTGATTTCAGAGGCAGATGAACTCTGTCTGTCTGTCTGTCTGTCTGTCTGCCTGTCTGTCTGTCTGTCTGTCTGTCTATCTATCTATCTGTCTGTCTGTGTGTCAGTCTGTCTGTCTGTCTGTCTGTCTGTCTGTCTGTCTGTCTGTCTGTCTGTCTGTCTGTCTGTCTATCTGTCTGCCTGTATGTCTGTCTGCTGTCTGTCTGCTCACGGCTCACGCGCATGGTCGTTTCGTCCGCTCCATGAGTCTACGACTCCGGTGTCACCCTGTGTCACATTCTTTGTGTCACCCTGTCACATCACCCTCTGTGTCACCCTGTCACATGACTCTGTCACAACCTCGCTGTTGTCTGTCACCCTGTGTGTGTCACCCCTCTGTGTCACCCTCTGTGTCACCCTGTGTGTGTCATTTCCCGCTGCCCTTCTGTTGGTACAATGTTAGGATACGTATTTTTGTTGTTATCTTTATCGTTGTTGTTATCTAATGACTTATCATTGAACGACACTCGTGTTTGTGAGATGGGAGTCGTGAACTGCCAGAAGGATGTGCAATGTTGAACACTCGTTTTTGTGAAGTGCTGGGGAAAGAGTCTGTGTGTGTGTGTGTGTGTGTGTGAGAGAGTGTATGTGTGTGAGTGTATGTGTGTGTGTGTGTGTGTGTGTGTGTATGTATGTATGTGTGACATGGTTTCCCCTGAACACAATCTGTGATGGACACACATACTTATATTGGCGCGCTGTGTTTCCTTGGCCCAGGCCTACCCCCGGGGAACTCGCGGCTGCCCGGGCATAGATGTGTCGTAGATGTGTCATTGAGGTGTCTCTGTGTCGTCGTCTTTTTGTTCATCTATTACGGTATCATCATAATGTTCATCTATTATTGGATCATCATAATGTTCATCTATTATTGGATCATCATAATGTTCATCTATTATTGGATCATCATAATGTTCATCGATTATTGGATCATCATAATGTTCATCTATTATTGGATCATCATCATCATTTTCTTCATCTATTGCTGTGTGATCTTGTCCTATCATTGTATCACCAGTAGTATCTTGTTCATCTAGAACTGTATTATCATCTTGTTATTTATCAACTTTATTATCATCATTATGTTCTTCTATTGCTGTATTATCATCTTGTTCATCTACTCTTGGATCATCATCATCATCATCATCATCATCATCTTGTTCATGTTCTCCTTAAATACACAGTGTGTGTTTGTGTTCAGCTGGTGAAAGATGTCTTGATGTCTTGAATGTTTGTTTGTTTGTTTGTTTGTTTGTTTGTTTGTTTGTTTGTCTTGTTGGTGTCATGGGAGGGTGAACAAGACCTCAGAGTTTGACTGACGTCATCTCAGATGTGTGATCTAGTGTGACCTATGACCTGAGGGGACAGAGACTGGCCAATGCGACAGTTGAAACAATTTTGTATTTTGTGTTTTTGTTTTGTGTTTTTGTTCAGAGAGTCAGATAGTGGTGGGGTAAATGTCAGCCCCCCCCCCT